CACATTAACCCACAGTGCCACACCTGCAGAATTCCTCAGTGTAATCATCATTGATTTTAGTGGTTGATGTATAAATTTGAATAATAGTTGTATGAAGTGGTCTTCTCGGTAAGCATGTGAATATTATCACAGAGATTGTTTACTTCAAGATCGATCTTGAGATGCGCTTTCTGACCATAAAAGCGATGCCATTTCCCCTGAACTTGTCATTGGGACATAGTAAATCGTATGATTGTCCAATTCAGATGGCCATTGCTAGCCCTTTTTAGCCCTACTGCTGTTAAGTGCTGTGTAGTCTGTTCTGACTCGTAGCGACCCTGTATAGGGTATGAGGAGCAGCTGGTGGACTTGAACCACCCACCTGATAGTTGAAGCCAGCCTACTGGTCTCATGCTTATCCTGCAGCGCCACACTAGGACTCCTTTCAGCCCCATTGTTGCTGTTGTTGTCGCATTGGTTCCCACTCACAGTGACCCTGTATAGGGTTTCCAGTGAATGACAGGTGTGTTTGAACCCCTGACCTTTGCTGTTCAAACCAACCTTGCGGTCCAGTGCATTATCATACAGCACCACACCAGGACTCCTCAGCCCCAGGAGTGCCTAGGATATCCAACTTTATACATTCCATTTTGTTTTAATGACTACCAATTTTCCTAGATTTATGCTTCATACACTTCACACTTGAATTATTAATGATGTTTGCACATGTTTCTCATTTTGAGTTGTGCCCATTAGCAAATGAAAATCCTGAAAGCCTCGCTCCATCCATGGCGTCATAGTCAGTTCTACTTTGAGGAGTCATATTTTGAATGCCTTCCAACCTGAGGGGTGCATCTTCCAGCATTATATCTGACAATGTTCCATTGATTTCTGGCACTTTATCAAACAATGTTCAGCAGCTCTCCCTAAGGTGTTCGGTGGCTAACCTTTCAGAAGTGGTCTGCCTCTGGAAGTTCTGTTGAAACCTGCCCACCATGGGTGACCCTGCTGGTATTTAAATCACCGTGGCATAGCTTCCAGCATCAGATGAGTGTTGGTTGTTCCCTTTAGGTAGTTCTATTTTTAACCTTTCCGTTTTGATTCCAGAGTAATAGTGTTTTACTGAGTTTGCCTTTGGGGTTACCAGTGGTGGAACTGAAACATCGTGGGGGCGGCTTGCTCTCTGGAGATGGGAGCTGTGTATGGCTTTAGTGCTCTTAGTGGTCCTTAGGGCGCCTTCTCTGCTGCCCTGCCACCGTGGGAGGGGCATGGATGAGTGTATTCTGTGGGATTGTGGGAGGGGCGTGGCTGCATTGTATCCTGTGGGGCTGTGGGAGGGGCGTGGCTACAGTGTATTCTGTGGTCCTGTGGATGGGGCGTGGCTGAGTGTGTCCTATGGGGCTGTGGGAGGGGCGTGGCTACAGTGTATTCTGTGGAGCTGTGGGAGGGGCGTGGCTGAGTGTATCCTGTGGGGCTATGGGAGGGCGTGGTTTGTATATTTTGTGGGATTGTGGAAGGGGCGTGGCTGGAGTATATTCTGGCGCTTGGTTTTCCTGAGTGGCACCAGAGGATTGTCTTTATGCGCCATTTATGCCAGTTTCCCAGTGGGTGCCCATGTGACTTCAGAGCAGGGACTAGCGAGGCTTCTTGAGTCATTATAGGTCACTTAGGCTGTTTGCTTTCCTGCTGAGGCATGACTGGAACGAGGGCAGGGCTGCGGCTGCTACTTTTGGATGCTGTCAGTGGATTCCGACTCAGGGACCGGATGTGACAAGAGTATTACCGCCCCATAGCGTGTCTAGGCTGTATTCATGACGAGCGCGATTCACCAGCCCTTCCTCTCACAAGGCCACTGGTTAGGTTTAAACCGCCAACCTTTGTTAGCTGGTTAGCTCTTAACGGCTCCGTCACCGGGCTCATTGCAGGTAGGGCCTGTCTGGTAAGTCCTGCAGAGGGAATCCTGTGTGAGGACCATCTAGTGTCAGAAGTGCGCTCTCACCGGCCTAGCTATTCCTTTGGTCAGGAATTCTTTTGTCATGGTCTCCAAAATCGTGTGCAGCTGCTAAAGGACCCTTCAAATTCAAGGTCACAGACACAGCGACGATTCACTGTCAGCCGCCTGCTGTTTGTGACTTGTCCACATCTCCACTCCATCTTCACTGTTGACTGCATCCTTACAGCTGTGAACGAGAGGAGGTCTGGGGGCTGTAGTCCCACGTGGGCTGTGGAGGTGGGCACTTGAGTGTGGGTTTGAGGCTCAGCAGGCTGTGGATCCCGCTTGAGGTAATGAGGAGGGGGAGTTCTCCAGGAAAGATGAGCACAGGTAATGGGAAAATAGGGACCCAGGCCTGGACCTCGGGGTCCTGCCTCCTGGCAAGCGGCTTCTACAGAGGAACGCAGAGCAGCGTCATTCTGAGGTAGCCGATCCTATGCTGGGCAGGATACGGGCCTGGCACCACTGGGACATCTGTGTGTTTGTGTGGCTGGAATCCACTTTTCTGTCTTCACAGACCTTGTAAGAAACCCTAGTGGCACAGTGCTTAAATGTACTACCCAAAGGTTGGAGGTTTGAACCCACTGCTCACTCTGGGAGAGACCTGTGTCTGTCTGCTCCTGTCAGGATCAATGCCTTGGAAACCCCTCTGGGCTTCTATCTGCCCTTCGGGGTCTCTAAGTCACCAGCAGTGGGTGGCTACAGGCTGTTTTGACTTCAGTGCTAATTCCATCTGAAAATCGGAATTGGTCTATTTAACACTCATGAGCCCTTGTCCTGAAGCTGTCCCTCCCCTTGCTACCCTGGGTCTATTTGTTCGGCTTTCTCACTGTCGTTAGTCTTGGCATGAGAGTCCAGGCCTAGAATTACCGTTTATTTCCTGTGTTTTTCCGGGTCTCCCCAGGCTCCCCCTCTGACGGACAGACATATCATTTTTTGTTACTGTCTGTGAGTGGAGAAGATTTGCATTTTCCTTCTCTGATGGGTTTCTGTTGGCGAGGTTCCTGCTTTCTCAGGTTTCACTGTACGTAAATGTTAGATAACGTTTTAGGTACGTTCATCTTCATGTGCGATGTGGATATTTAACTTGCATTTGGGTCCCATGCGGCTTTGAGAATTTAGGGAGCAGCTGAGTCAGCCTGGGACAAGTCTCCGGGTGTACAGCTCCTGTCTCCAGCTGTGTCCCCGGCTGAAACCTGCCGGCGTCAGCCCTGCTATTTATAGAGGCACTGTTGTTTGTATCAGAAGTGTACCTCCTAGTCCTATTCTAGGCTCGGCCACTGTTGGAATAATTCCCCCAGATGACTAAGTCCCAGTTACCATCGCTGTCGTCCTGTGGGCCCTGTATGTGTCCCTGGGCTACTGCCCACTGGTGATCTGTCTCCCAAGTTCAGGGAGCGAGCGTGCTGTATCCCCCTGTGGGGGGCATCAGCGGAGATCTGCTATGCCCGCCGCCTCCAGGGGGTTGTTCCCATTGGCTGCCCTCCTGAAATTCAATATTCTTGAAGTACAATCATTTTTCAGTAGCTCTTATTCTAGGTTTCTGTTTGCCCAGAACAGAGACAGACTCCTTCAGGGACTCTGTGACTCTGTTCCCAGCCTCTTAAATAATTGAGCCCCAGATCTGCCAACTCCAGGATGGTCCAGGGTTATGACTGACGGGCCACTTCTGCCTTCCCTGTGATGGGCTGTCCAGTGACCCTGTCTGTGAAATGAGTGACCCAGAGCCTCCTGGCAGTCAGTTCTTCAAGTCAGTCACTTGCTGCACGAGCAGCTTTCAAATCCTGAGGAGACTACGAGGTTTGTGCTGATGTGGGGCAAAATCAGATCAGTGCACACCTTTTACAAACATGAGCGAGCTCGTTCGTCACCGGAGACCATCTGGGTTGCAGAGTATCAGGGGCTGTCAGCAGCGGGTTCCTGCGCAGACTCCCAGCCCCCTTGTTTCCAGTCAGCCTGGGGTGGCACGTGACACTGCACTAGTTTCTTACCAGGTGTTATGGCAGTTTCAGGGTCCACCGCGTGTGTCACGCATGCTGCCTGGCGGTTTCAGGGTCCACCACGTGTGTCACGCATGCTGTTTGGATTCAGGAGTGTGGTAGATGGGAGACGAACAGGGCCTGTGACCTGCTGAGTGGCAAATCCATCATCTTTAGCGCAGCTCATCCAGGTTCCGCATCCGATGAGCTGCTTATCTCTGGCCATGCTAAGTTGTAGAGGGCCACCCCCACCCCTGACTTCCATGCTTGTCTCAGATTGGTCTGCGTTCAGCTGCTGCCCACCTCGGCACAGGAGAGGGCATCTGCATGTGGTAGCCAGCCTCCTGCCAGGCGAGCACACACCTCAGCCTGGATGGCAAGGCTGCACCTTTGACAAAGCAATGCTCTTGTTAGCCTTGGCTGGGCACGCTTACACGTGTGACAAAGGCACATGCTCGCACGGTGAGCCAGGTGGGGTGACAGGTCCTTACCATACACGAGTCTTAGTAAAGCTTCATCAACTGAGAAAACTTAGAGTTGTTGACTTATAAAGTGGGAATTGGGGGCTTGAGGGGCTCGATACCTTGTCCTGCCATCTAAAGCCAGGCTTCCAACCAAGACGTGCCTGACCCCAGCCCGGCCTGGGACCCTGTGCAGGGAGCGTGTCTTGTCTGGTCTTGTCCCTGAGGAGCTGCGGCCTGGTCCCACATATTCCCTCAGGGCACTAGTGCTGCTGCGGAGTGGAGATGGGGCAGTGTTCACAGCGATCGCAGAATGAGCACCATGTCTGGAGTAGCCACAGCTTGTGGAAGCGTCTCAGAGGTTCCATGGCATCTTTTCCACTTACCATGGGAACACCAGAAAACGTATCCTCACAGACCCTTACCCGGGAAAAGCTCACAAGGTGCTAACTCAGTGTACCTCATAAAGTGGACACTTTAGAGGTGCTGAATCGGGGTTCCTTGTATAGCGGGCACCCAGAGGTGCTGGCTCGGGTCTGTGTGCCCTGGTACTAGTCAGGTGGGCACTCAGAGGTGTCTCTCTTGCAGGAGATGCAAACCAAGCTGCAGGACTTTGCCCAGCTGCCGGCACACCGCCTCACAGACTCCTGCGTGGTGGCACTGCTCTCCCACGGGGTGGAGGGCGCCATCTATGGAGTGGACGGAAAACTGCTCCAGGTGCGTGGTGGTGGTGGCGGCGGCACTCCCTAACCCCCCAATGGAGTCCTGAGGGGCTGCTCACCCCCATTGCTCCCCAACAGCTGCAGGAGGTCTTCCGGCTCTTCGACAATGCCAGCTGCCCAAACCTGCAGAACAAACCCAAGATGTTCTTCGTGCAGGCCTGCCGTGGAGGTGAGTGCCCAGTGACCGGCGCTGGGGGGCGGCTCCCACATCCCCGCCAGCTCTCACTGTCCTGTTTGCTCCTCTCAGGTGCCACCGGACCCCTCGGGCACCCCCTTCTGTTCCCTGCTGCCACCGCCTCTCTTGCTCTGTAAGTCTCTCCGATGCATGGGGTGTGCACCCCGGCTCTGACACTAAGCGGCGTCTGCCGTCTCCTCGCCCAGTGCGGGGCTTCTCTCTGCTCTGCTCCTGGTCCTGTGCGTCTTTCTCACACTGTCCTCTTCCTGTCTCTGACCTCCTCTTGTTTCCCCATCACCTGCTCCCCGGGCCGCGCAGCCCCTCGTCCTGCACGCTGTCTGGCTGGGCTCGTAGGACAGGTGGGCGTGTGTCTCACTCTGAAAAGCTGTTAAGAGCCCGGGCTTTGGGGTCAGAGTCCAGACCCCCTTCCTCATTGTGTGTGGTTGCCGGGGGCCCTGATGCCCCTTGGCTCAGGTTCCCCGTGTGAGATGTCGGTAGTCACGTGCCTGCTGCCTTGAGTGGCGTGAGAATGAAAGGAGTTAGTGTCTTTTCCAAGAGCTGGCCAGGCAGGCGGCGCATGTAGTCAGTACTGACCTCGGAAGGGAAGTACAAGGCCCCTGGAGAGATTTGTGTTCATCTCGTGGCACTTCAAGTGACGTAACGACTGTCCCTGTCCCCCAATGTCACCGTAACACGCCAGTCTCTGCCAGCCCGTGTGGATTCCTGAGTGATCAGGGAAGAGACCTCGAGGGGAAGAGGCTCCAGGTTGTAGCATGGGAAGTGCTCTGGATGTGGCCCCTGGTTGTAGCACGGGAAGCCTGGTGGTGCAGTGCTTAAGCAGTCAGCTGCTCACTGCTCGGTGGGAGCAGGACCTGGTGACAGCCTGGGAGGCACCCACTCGATTTCACAGTGTAGGTAGAATAGCACATAGAGGTGCTCACTGGAAGGTTGTATCCGCCAAGAGGTACCTCAGAAGGAAGTTCTGGCAATCGACACCCTAAACCCCAGGCACAGCCCACCCTGATACACACAGGGCGCCGATGGGCAGTGACAGGACGGCATAGTGAGATGGTTTCTGCTGGCCCGGAAACCAGTGAGATGGATGCAGAGCAAACCAGGGAGGAGCGGACCCCGTTGGACTACACTGAGGCGGGTTGGGGGGGGCGGGATGTGGAGGCTGGAGGGACTCCTGTCCTTCCTGAGTATGACCTTGGTGTGATGGGGACATGCACTTTGGGGGGTGCAGGGGCTGGAACCCAGCCCGCTCCTGCCGTGTCCCCATTTCCCTGCAATCTGCGAATCCTGACCCTCTCCCTAGCAGGGCCCTTCTTCCTGTGGTAGATCAGTGCCACGGAAGCAGCAGCCCCCCTCCCACATAAACCAGCAGAAATCGGGGCGTGCCTCGGGTGAGTCTGGCTGGGTCACGAGAACGTGGAGACACTCCTGCTGAATCGGAGCAGCACAGTTCCCTCTGGCTTTGTGTCCCACTCCTCAGGGTTGCTCTTTGACGTAGTCACTGAGCAATGACATCTGACTCACCGGGGAGACACTTGTTGTTTTTAGCCTGGGCCATCTTTTTATTCATAGGGGATTGGAAAGAGCAATTAGGGCAGTGTTCATGTCTCATTCACGACGTGATTATGATGGATTAACTTGATTGTCTCATCTGTGTAATAAAATTGTCCATATTTATCATGCCTGGTAATAAAAAGTTCCGTCCCTCCCAAGTGTGCTGGTGATGGAATGAGGAACTGCGTATGGAGGTGGTTTGTAGCTCTGTGTCAGGAAGGCTTGGCCAGCGCCCTCCTCATCCAACAGCTCCCCATGGACGACCTCAGGAGTGTGTGTCTGTGTCTGTGTGTGTACACACGCACATGTGTTCCATCAGCTTGTCTCTGTCGTACAATCATGGACAAGCTCAGGAGTGTGTGTGTCTGTGTGTGTGCACGTGCAGATGTGTTCCATTAGCTTGTCTGTGTCCTACGATCACCGACGAGCTCAGGAGTGCCCCCGCCTGACCCCTGTGAGGAGCGGACGGACAGACCTCCTCTTCCATCAGGCAGCAGCTGGAAGTGGCCCTTCCCACTGGGTGTCACAGGGAGCCTGGGCTGGAGTGTGACCGCTGTGCACTCTGTCTGTCTGTCTTCCTACAGATGAGACGGACCGTGGAGTTGACCAGCTGGACGGGAAGAACCAGGAGCAGTCCCCCGGCTGCGAGGAGACAGATGCCGACTCAGAGGGGCTTCTAAAGGCGCGGCTGCCCACACGTTCAGACATGATCTGCGGCTATGCCTGCCTCCGAGGTACTGCTGCATGGGCCCATGCTGGGGGGCAGCTGGTCAGGCAGATGACCGCAGTTCTCATGCCGGCGCTTGGTTGCAGGCACGGCCGCCATGCGGAACACCAAGCGGGGTTCCTGGTACATCGAGGCGCTGGCTCGTGTCTTCTCGGAGCGGGCCTGCAACATGCATGTGGCCGACATGCTGGTTGAGGTGAGTTGGCTCCCAGGGTGACCTCGCTCTGTCCTTCCTGGCCCCCCCTGCAGCCTTCTGAGACGCTGGCCCGCGCTGCCCCTCCCCCCAGGTGAACGCGCTTATCAAGGAGCGGGAAGGCTACGCCCCTGGAACCGAGTTCCACCGCTGCAAGGAGATGTCCGAGTACTGTAGCACCCTGTGCCGCCACCTCTACCTCTTCCCGGGACAGCCACCCACCTGACTCCCTTCCCTGAGGAGTTTCACTCTGACCTCCCCTCCCCCTGTCACCCCGTGCGCCCCACCTCACCCCCCTGCCCTGACCAGGCTGCTGGAGGCTGAAGCGATTCTGTGCCTGGTTCTGCCCTGGGTCTTCCGTCTGCCGTCCCAGCACCTGTCCACTTCCGTGAGATCACTGCCCCAGCACCAAAAACCCAAAGGCGCTGTGGACTGTGTTGTGACTCCTGGTGACCCCACTGTGCTCCGTAGGGGTTGCTGGGCTGTGACGATGGTTACAGGAGATGTGCAGACTTTTCTTCTGTGGCACTGTGGAGTGGGTTTGAACTGCCAACCGTCAGTAGCTGAGCACGAAGCCTGAAGCTGGCTACTGCCGTCTCTGTTATCTCCTCCTGCTGGATACACATAGTCCTCACCCCCCCACCCCCACCCCGGGCTGTTAGAGCCGGTCCACTCCTGTCCTCAGCCCTTCCCTTCCCGTTGATCTTCTGATCTTCTACCTGTAACAACCAGCTGATTGTCGACATACACCCTCCACCCGCTGAAACACGGCCGGCCCCTGGCCCTGTGCAGGTCCGCTGGGCTGAGTGTCGGCTCCATCAGCCCTCGGGAGCCTGGTCACCCCGGTGTCCACGTTGCTGTCTCCCGCCCCTCCCTCGCTAGGTTGTAAGCTCCCAGAGGGAGGGCAGCCTCCCTGTGACAAGTGCCTCTCTGCACTTCAGTCGTGTGCACGGTGTCGCCGTAGTGTTCTATTTTCCTACGTGTTTTGTCTGGCCCGGTGGTGTTGGCAGCCTGCTCATCTCCCCGTGGGGCCTGGCACGGTGCTCCACCGGGTCCAGCCGGCGGCCCGGGCAGACTCACTGCCGCCCTGCCCTGGACCTGCTCAGCGTGGCCGCCGGTGCTCTGCGTTGCCCTCAGGTGCCAAATAAATGCCGTTTTCTTACCTGTCGTGTGCTGGTGGTGTCTCTCCGAAGCCCGCGCTGTGCTGCATGTGGGGGCACTCTTTAGATTTGGGCACAGCAGGCAGAGGGGAGCGGACTGCCGAGCCTCACCTGGTCTAGCTGACTGGGTTGTAAGAGAACCTGGGTTCCAGCTGTCTGCAGTGGGTCCTGTTGAGGCTGAGCCTCGTGGTGGGGTCAGGGGATGGGCTTCTGAAGGGGCAGAGTGGGCCTGGGCAGGGGGTTAGAGGGTGGAGGCCTTAAGGGGACACAGTGTGGGCCTGGGGGGGGGTTGTCAGGAGACAGGTCCTGAGGAAATACCGTGGGTTCCTGAAGGGACGCAGTTTGGAAGGTGGGCAGCTGCCCAGGAAGTGCAGAGGGACACTATCTGCAGCAAGTCTCTGGGCTGAGGGGTTGTGAAGTGCCGTCAAGTCAGTTCCGACCCATAACGACCCTGTATAGGGTTTCCGAGGAGCAGCTGGTGAACTTGAACTGCCGACCTTGCTGTTCAAACAACTTTGCAGTCTGGTGCATTAACCCACAGCGCCACAGTACTGGGGTGACCACCCTGCAGGCAGACACCTGGGGAGGGGGGAGGGCCAGTGGTTTGGGGAGTGCCCCCTTGGGCCATGACTGCTCTCTGCCCAGTCAGCACACACGTTGCCTTTCACAGCTCTGCCAGGGGATTCTCTTCTAAAATGACCCCACCCGGCGCTGGGGCTGCCCCGCTACCCTTCCCATCTGACATCTCTGTGGGCAAGAGGCAGACCGGAGCTGAGCTCCTGGAGATGTCATCATTGTCCAGCTGTGGCCACCAGGGTCGAATGGACCTGAGGCTGAACACCGGCTCTGCCTCAGTTTCCCTCACCCGAGATGTTGAAAGTGCAGTTGAGTGATGGGCATCAGCATTGGTGACTGCCAGGGTCGCCCTGTGTCCTTTCATCTCCAGGGAAAGCCTGTGCCCAAGGCTACTCTCCACCCCAGATGTTGTCTCTCACACCTGGGCTACACGGGGTCCCCACCAGACCGAGGACAGCCGCTCCTTCAGGTGGAGTCAGAAACGTCTTGGGGAGGAGTGAGGGAAGATGGAGCCAGAGGGGTCGTCACAGAGAAGGGTCTGCAGAGCGGGTGCCTCAGGTATGAGGTGTGGCCTAGGAGGGGGACATGGCACCCCCAGGTCAGAGGTTGAACTTGAGACAAGGTGGGAGTAAGGAAACACATGTGCACTTGGTTTGGGGGTACCAGCAGGCTGTCTCCTACATGCTACCCCCCTACCTGGCTCGCCCTCATCCTTGGCTCCTGGGGAGGCACCTCACAGCCTTTCTTCAAGCATCAATTCCACGGTCCCCAAGAACTGGGTCTCATGCACGCTGAGTCTGCTTCTAAATCTGGGGGCTTCATGGGGATCCTAGAAGGCTGGGGACAGGCGCATAAGAAATGCTAGGCCAAGAGGGTTACCCTGACGGATGAAGCATCATGCAAAGTCTGTTTTCAGGATGGCATCTGAGAAATTGTCCCTGACTCCCAGCTGAGAACAGAGCTTTTCACCCTTGCCCCCAGCATGGACCTGCAGACTCCCTGCCTGGCTCCAGGACCTAAGGCAGTTGGCACTCTAGACCACGACTCCATGCAGGGGAGGGCCACAGTGAGGCATGCACCCAGAGGATAATGGGGTCCCACTGCAGCCTTACCTCACACAAGGCCAGAGAGGCTATAGGGGCACAGGGCCAGGAGGGCCTTCCAGGCTACTGGACGGCACCTGGAGTCCATGGCCGGGCTGAGCCCAGGAAGAGCCCCATGGTGTCAGTGGGTCTGACTTCTGTTTCTGGAATCAAGTCCTCACAGAAACTACCTCAGCGACTCCACAGAGAGGTGAATGTTGGCTGCTGTCCCCTCCTGCCTGGTCTCTTCTCCGGGAAGAGCTGGTGATGTCTGAGTCTCGTCCCTCCGGCATCGCACCTACACGGTCTACCACCTTGCGGCATTGAGTTTACGCCGGAAGGTTCTGTTGAGGGTCCCCATGTCCTGCTCAGTCTGTCCAGCCCGGCTTTGGGGGTCCCACCTACTGAGGGACCTGAAGCTTCACCCTGACCCTTGCTGTCACCTCCCCTCCCCCCACAGCAGGGTGTCCCAGGGACTAGTCTTGGCCCAAACATTTATCATCCGAAACAGGAAGCATACTGGCATATCCCATCATTCCTCAGGTGTGGCAGCTCCCAGCCCCACACCCCTCCCTATCTACCTGCCCCCAAGGATCTCCCCATAAATCTAGTAGCAGTGTGGGAAGCGGGAAGAACCCCAGAACCCAGGACAGTGTACCTGGAGTGGGCGAGGACAGGTGGAGCCCGGGTGACCCAAGCTGGGCAGACCTAGAAAAGGCAGGTGGGCACACGTCACCACTCAGACAGGACTGGAGCGGGGTGAGGGTTGGCCCTGGGAGGCTGGTGGGACCCTGCTCACGATGGAGGAGCAACACCAGCTGCTGCAGCAGGTGAGTCCCTGCCCTGGCATGGGGAAGCAGGCAGGTGTGAGGGTCCTCGGGCAGTGGCAGCTGGTCCATGCTGAAGGGCTAATGCTGAGGAAGGGGACAGTATCCGGCACTCCCCACCCCGCCCCCACCACACTCTCACACCTGTTTCGACCCCAAGCGGATCAGATGTGGCACTGGGGGTCATGTGACGATGGGGGGGTGCTATAAATAGCTGGGGGTGGGCAGGTTGCCCCAGACGCCTTGGGGACAGCAGGAGGAGCAACTTGAGGAGCCCCGAGGAAAGACAGAGCAGGCCTCAGCTGGGGGGCATGGAGCGGCTGGGGTCTCTGCCAGCCGGGACCGAGCAGATCTGGTGGGGCAGTGCCCCCCAGTACCAGTACATGCCCTTCGAGCACTGTTCCAGCTATGGCCTACCCTCTGAGAATGGGGGGCCACAGTTCAGGCTTCGGAGGGACGCTGGCCCCCGCCCCAACGCCCACCCCACCCAGGTAAAGCTCTGGAACTGAGGGAGTCGGAGGGGGGGGCGCGGCGGTGTGCTCTGTCCAAGTAAACCACCTAGGTGTGGGCTCCCCCTAAGTACAGAGGTGTGGGGTCCCCTTAACTTGCAGAGGTGAGGGTATCCCATTAGCATGTAGTAGTGTGGGGTGCCCATTTAATGCACAGAGGTGTAGGGCACCCCCTTAATTCACAGAAGTATGGGGCGCTTCATTAGCTCACGGAGGTATGGGGTGGCCCATTGACTCAGAGATTCGGGGTGCCCCATTAGCTCACGGAGGTGTGGGGTGGCCCATTGACTCACAGAGGTTTGGGGTGCCCTATTAGGTCACAGAGGTTTTGGGGAGCCCTACTGACTCAGGCTCATGTTGCTCCCTAATTCACAGGTGCACTGTGGTGACCCAGGGCTCACAGGCTCGCACTGGTCCCACATTCACCGTGAGCACATTAGCATGGTTCCCACACTCCTAGGGCAGATGTCCCCAGACAGCCCAGCCCACCCTCACACCTGTGCACATGCAGATACACTGACCGAGGCTGCAGGGTCAGGGGACAAGGCACTGGCTACAGCTCAGGGGCCAGAGACCCCCGATTACAGAGCCGGAGAAATGCAAGCAAGCCACCGGATGGGAGTTTGACCAGGCGTCAGTCACCTGGGGGGTGGGCACCTGATCAGGGTTTGATGCAGGGGCTGGGGTACCACAAGGGTGGATGTGAAATTGTGGGGCTGTGACCGTGCCCTAGCAGAGTACAATGCCGGGCACCAGCGTCCAGCTGCTCAGGGTGCTAAGTCTCCCCTTGGGGGGTAGCAGTGATAACTTGGGGCAGAACTCTCGCCTTCCACGGGGAGACCAGGGTTCAAGTCCAGAAGCACACCTCACACTCAACAACTCCCGTCTCCTGGTGCTGCTAGGATGCTCGCAGGTTTCAATAGAGCTTCAGGACTAAGAGTAGGAAAAAGGGTCTGGTGATTAACTTCCCCAAACCAGAGAAAACCTTATGAATCTCAGCAGTGCAGTCCACAACCGACCTCGGGATGGCACAGGTCCTGTGGTGCACACAGGAAGGGCTGGGAGCTGGCTGCCACATCAACACTGCTGCTGGGATCCCTGAGCACGCTGGGCAGGGAGAGCTGAGATAGGAGCCCTGGTTTAGCACTGGGATGTTAACCACAAGTCAGCAGTTCAAAGCCACCAGTTACTCCGCGGGAGAAAGGTGGGGGGCTGCTTGCTCCGGTTAAGATTCAGTCTCTGCAGCCCGGTGGGATAGTTCCACGGTGTCTGTGAGTGGAGTCCACGAGCAGCAGGTTGTGGTGGTGAGTGGAGCTGAGGTGGCCTCATGAGGCCTCTCCACACCGGGCAGGGCAGGCTGAGGCCCTTCCTCTGGCCCTGGTGCTCCTCTGTGTGGGACAGTTCAGGCAGAATGCCACTGTGGCCCTTTTGGGGGGAAGCCCTCCTGGGAGAGCATGGAGAAGGGGGTCGCCACAGAGTCTTGAAAACACAGGTGTCTAGGGGGTCTCCAAACTCACCAGCAACTCCTCAGAAACCCAATACAGGGTTGCTATGAGTCGGTATCAGCTTATACAAAACTTATACAGAAACAGTGTCACCACTACCACCATCAACAATGACCAGTGGTGGCCAGCTGCGGCCATGTCTTCTCTGGTCCCCGCCACTTAATTTCACCTCCAGACTTCCGTCCCCTCATCTAGTCGCCCAAGATGTGGCCCCTCCTCATTCCCACCAGCCTGGCATGGAGGGACATCGGCAGAGAGGTCAGGGCCCCTCCAGGCCTCCCCAAGTGACGACCACGCAGCCAGCTGGGTTCCTGTTGGGGGAGGTTGTCCATCTGTGCACTACCTTGGTCTCTGCTGGCCAGGCCAGCCTGTCCTCCCTGTCCACTCAGGGCTGCTCCCACTGGGGACACCTGTTTCAGCCATCCATAGGGACAGAGGTGTCTGCAGACCAGGATGAGTGTAGTAGAGGTGTGGATGGGTGATGGGCAGGGCAGGGAGGACACACTGACCAGCAGAAGGCGCTGACCCCCTTGCCAGCCCTCAGCACCCGGAGCTCACAGGTTGCTCTGTGTCCAAGGGTCCAGTTCATTTGCTCTGACGTTCCATTCCTCTACCCAGATCTACGGTCACCAACAAGGACAGTTCTCACAGAAGGAGCAGGACACTGGGGACCCTCAGTGGGCCGGCTCCAGCACTACTGAAGACAGCAAGGATGAGGACCATGACTCCAAATGCCACGGTGGGTCTGGGGGGTCCACTGCACCCAAACCACAATTCTGGTGCCACAGTGAGGCTGGGGGTCCACTGCACTCACACACAAGGACCACAACTCTGGTGCCACAGTGAGGCTAGTGGCATGGAGCCAGAGGGTAACTGGGGGTGGGTGGGGTGTCTGACTACAGCTCCTCCCCCACAAGGGCAGAGAGAACATCTGGGGTGGATGGGGCACAAAGCCAGGAGGGTAGCTGGGGGTCCCACGTACCCCTCCAAAGCCCTCCAAGTAGTAAGAGCAGTCCCCCACAC